ACTGCTTCTTCGAAAAAACTATTAATATTAGGTGATGAATCTGCTATTAACTTGAATAAATATATGGAACGCTCTCCTGGATTCAAACATTTCAACATGTTAATCTATTATTAAACTAGGAAAGAATTTTGACAATGTACTGGAGGTTGTAGCAGATTTAGTAAAAACATATTCGTTATCTGATTTTGTGATTGTGGTAGCAGGTGCTAATGATTTTGACATATCCAGGGTCCCTAAATTCAGAAATATTTGTTTTAAACTAAAAATATGTGCTCACACTAACTTTATAATGCCAGTTCCAATTTTAAGTAGACACACTATTATCAAGAAATTTAATTTGTAACTAGACCAATTTTTGGACAAGTTAGACAATTACACTGAAGGTAGAATGTTATGTGTAAATATCAATTCTAAGCAAGGTTTTAAACTAAAACTGTCCGATATCGTACAAAAAATTAGTGTAGCAATAAGTAATGGCAAAAATGTCTGTACAAATTTAAAATTTATCAACACTGTGAAATCCATAAACACAAACTGTAACATGTCTAGTAACTCGGGTACCATAGATTTGACAGATTAAAATGATTTAACTGTTCCTTCTACTGATAACATAATTTTTATCACACCCTTAGTCAATAAGGATTTTCCCACCATGTCTCAAACTCAAGATCCAATTTAAACATTACAAAAAATATATTATATTTTTGTGACCAATATTGATGAAATCTGTAATTATATGTTGTTAAAAAAAACCAAGGCTAGTATGTGTTTCTGAAACTTGTTTGACTGAGGATATTTATAATTCAGAAATAGATATTAAGGGATATAAAAGTTATAGAGTTGACAGTAAAAGTAGGCATGCTTAATTTATGTACAAAGTGAACTTAAAGTTTTAAAATATTTTAAATTTTGTATTCCAAAAATTTGTTGGATTATCTTTGTGATAGTAATAATAGGGAACAAACCTTTTTTAATTATATCATTGTATAAGTCACCTAGCAGTAGTAGTATAATTTTTTTTAGATTGTTTTAATACTTGGAGTGAATAAAATGTATAATTCTCTAATAGTTATTGTTTCTGGATATTTTAATATTGACTTGTTAACTAAAAGCACATACAGCACGAAATTAAAGGATATTTTAGTTGATACTGAGGTAAAAAATATTGTAGCGGAATATACAAGACCAAATAGAAATGGTGGAGGTACACTGTTTTTTTTTTTTGTGAAAAAACACTCCAAAAGGGGCGTTTATTGATATTACAATCTGATCAAGAGTTGATCAATGAGTAATTTTGTTATAACCTAACTTAACTAGGGTTGCAATCTTAAAAACTAAAGTTCTACTCGCTAGTATACCTTAGGGTCTGATAACTTAATTACACTAAACTAACGTGTAACACTAAACCGCACAATGCTTTGCTTTGTTATTAATACAATCACTTGGCTAACTCAAAAGGTTTCACTCTCTTGAGTCTTCTTGTCAGGTTCGTGTTCACATGTTGGTGGAGCCGTTGTTCGTGGCTCCTAGCGAATCTGGTGATAGTCTGGTCAACAGTGTTCATCTGAAGGTCTCGATGAAGGTTGCTGTTTCTAATGTACCAAGGAGCATCGACAATGTTCCTCAATACTTTGTTCTGGAATCTCTGGATTATTAGAATATTACTGTAGCTGGCACAACCCCGGAGCTGAATGCCATATGTCCAAATTGGTTTGAGAACTGATGGTACACTAATAGATTAAGTTATAACAAATAACGATTCAGTCTCAATTGAGGTTATCAAAACACCAAGAATTTCAGATCATTTTATACTTTTAACGAATGTGCTATTGAATAGTGATGACCTATCTGCTTTAGAAATTGAAAGCAGAGGTAAGGACTTAAATGTTGATTTAATAAATAACAAATTTTCAACATTAATGTAAAATATGATAATTTTGAAACAAATATTTGACTGATTGATCAGCATGTCCGGCAAAGCACTCTGATAGAGGCCATTCCATACAAACCAACATGCCTATAAATCAGGAAAATCTTGTGTCTGCTCTGCATCATCTTGTAACCAAGATAGAGGAAGGACTCAGTAGCTGGTGGATAGAAGACATGTTATGCGGACGGCAAGTACAGGCACAAATGTTCAGTGAAACCATGCAGGTGAATATCCACAGGGGATGTCCACAGGGTGGAGTCCTTTCTCCTCTACTGTGGAACCTAGTGGCAGATGAACTGCAAGGGCTGTACGCCCAAGGATATGCCGATGACATAGTCATCCTTATCCGAGGGAAACACCAAATCACAGTCTTTGAACTCATGTAAAGAGCTCTTAGGCTGACAGAAATGTGGTGCGTTAGGGAAACCTCTTGGTAAACCCTGACAAGGCACAACTCATAACCTTTACTCGGAAAACAAGGTTGGAGGTTTTAGAAACTCCGATTCTGTTTGGAGGAAGGCTAAACAAAACGAACCAAGTAAAATATCTGGGTCTAATCCATTAATTATTTTCAAGATATAAAAAGTAGTGGAATAAAAAAGTAAATGTTGCCACAAAGTACAAAGATCTTGCATATAAAAAATATTCACAAGAATAAACAAAAAACAATTGGAATGAAAATAAAATACATAGAAATAGGGCCGTTAATGTAGTTAAACAGAAAAAAGTAAACACATAGAGAAAAATATTTACGAAAGTAGGGAATATTCCAAGGAAATGTGGAAATCTCTTGAATGTCTGCTCCCAAAAAATAATAAGTCAAATTATTTAATCGAACTTGAATTAGAAAATAATGTGATTATAAAAAATATTTTTGGAATGCCAAATGCTCTTAATAAATTTTACATAGACAGTATCCAATCGATTGCTAATATGATTGATCATACAATACTAGATTATCAAATTTTGAACAGTCGTAATGGCCATTCTCTTGGGAAGTTTCAACTATGCATGGTGAATTCTTTACAAGACATTATTTTTGCAATGATAAAAAAAAGTAGCATAGATAATAACCTTAATATTTTAAAAAACTGTTTTTCCAACCTCTCAGACCTACTTTTAAATTTGTTAAACTCCTTCTTAGAAATATCAATAAATACCCAATTTAAAAATTGCTACGGTAGTCCCTGTTCCTAAAATACAAAACGCAAATAAAGCTACTGATTTAAGACCTATTAGTATGTTCTATCGAAAAAATCCTTGTGAAGGTAGTTTATGAACAAATTGTTAATTTTTTAGAACATAATAAACTTATTACTAGATAATACAATCGGGCTTCAGAAGCAAGCATAACTACGAATTAGCTATTCAGTGTGTTTTATATGATTGGAAATATAATTTTAATAAACACTATCTAACGTTGGCAGTTTTTATAGATTTCCAACAGGCGTTTAAAACTGTTTCGATAACAAAATTAAAAAGTGTGGGTAAAGTAGAACAGTCGTTGGAGTGGAGTGTGGATTATCTAAGTAACAAGAAACAAAGGTTAAAAGTAAATAACATCATATCAAAAGAGATTAACTGTACGAAAGAGTTCCACAGGGAAGCATATTAGGTCCCGTTATTTTTAGTTAATATCAATGACATTGTTGATGTAAAGGGTCAATGTGACATTTTCCCGTTTGCTGATGATGCCCTCATATATTTTTCTTGTAAGGATCCAGATAACTGAGTAAGAGTTGTTAATTAAACGTTGAAAAATGTTTATAGATGGTGTTGCAATAATTATGGCTATGTGCAATTTGTTGAAAAACAATATAACATCACAATTGGAGGAAATTCTATACAATATACAATTAGTAGAAAAATTCAAATACTTGGGGGTAATGATTGACAAACAGATGAAATTCACAGATCATGCCAACTCTGTCATCAAAAGTATTGCATTTAAGTTAAATTTCCAATATAGAAGTTCATTTAGCTTATCACAGTGGAATACATGTATTATATATATAACACTATCATTCTACCTTACTTTAATTTCTGTTCTACAATACTCTTTTTTCTAAATCAAAATGAGTTGAACCGACTGCAGCAGTTGCAGAATAGAACAATGCGAATAATATTATATTGCTCAAAATATACTAATCTAATGCTTGAAACTTTGAATTGGATGCCAATCAAAAGTCTTTTATCAAGACATGGGTTACTTCCGATGTACCTAAACAAAAATAACTTTTATATTGAAACTGTTGTCAAAATTGCAACACAAAATTCACTATTTTTTTTAGAGAAAATTAAATCTGTAAATTCTGTAACTATATTTAAAATCCAGGTCACAGATTATTTAATTCATTAAAATTCCTCCAGAAATAGTAGCAGGGTTGGTTAGTTTTAATTGCATTTGTATTTATGGTTTTATCTATGTTTTTATCTGTTTTTATCCATGTTTTGACTTGTATATGTATATTACAATATGTATCACTAAGTTGGACCCATAAAGAAAACTTTTTTATTGGTTTTGTGAAAAAATTTATTCTTGATAAAAAGTTCTGCATGGTCCAAAACTTAAAATGCAACCATCATATATCAATTTTTTTAAGCCGTATACGAGGTTTGTCAAAATATACGATTTTTGTTGAAGAGTAAAATACCTTAATTTTTGACAAACCTCGTATACGACTGATGAAATTTGATATCCGATGGTTGTATTTTAGGTTTTAGACCATGATCGACTTTTTATGAAAAATAACTTTTTTCCTAATATTAATAATAAAAAGGTTTTTCATACGCCGTCAACTTACGTAGACAGTAACAGAAATTAATTCATTGAACAATTACACACCAATGGGATACCCTGTATATTATGTCAGTATTCCATATCAAAAATGCATTTTATCCTGTAAAATTTATTTTTGTGACATGACTCTAACTGCAGTATCAACGACGATATCAAAAATTCAGCCTCTCCTCAATTTTTTAAATGACAATTTGATTGTAATGTAATGTTTTGTATCATAACTGCATTTAAAAAAATTAAAAATGTATTATTAATAAATTCAGTAATTACCTTCCCACAGGCAACGCCATAGTCCTAATACAGATCCCGTACAAATGCTTCTCCTGCTCCTCTATAAAATCGTGATCAGAGACGTCAGGTCTTTGCGTCAACACTATGGGCACCGGCCTCGAGCTCTGTAACATTTTCCTAGTTTCGTTCACTCTGACATCGTCGCTAAAACGGAGTTTCATCAGAGAGTTGTCGGTGTCTTCCATGCCATCGACTTGTTCGAAATCTGCTTTAATACCTAAGAGTCAGGTTTATCTTTGAACCACACAAATATAGTTATGTGATTTAAATGTAAAATGAGTTAATATGTATCTATAAAACTTCAAGTCCATGAAGGGGTAAGGAAGAGTGAAGACTTTTTTCTCCAGGGCTGTTTGGAGTAGTTAGGCGGTAAAAATACTGAAAACAACCGAAAGAGAGGGGGACGAGAAAAAGTCCAATTTCAAAAAAAAATGGATCGTAAGAAAAAAATTATTCTCTGCTAAATGATAACTGATTATTTCTATACATTTTTATCCTATTACAAACAGACCAATGAAGAAAAAATTACCCACTCGTCCATGTCCTCTACAACTTCCCATCGAACACTGACTGGATTACAAATTAATTTAATCAAAATAAATAACTGACTTCTAACAAAAACATTTTAAAAATATAATAATTTGTTAGAAAATAATACTTAATAATAATTGTTTCATCAATCACCTGGCATAACATCCTCTAACTGAGTACTGCTGTACATTCCCAAAAGTTCTTGAGAAGACTCTTGCCTCTCTTTTTCTATCTTTACAGCTTCAGCAGCGAGATCTTCCCGCCACAATAGATAATAAGCTTCGGCCGGCCAGTCTGCAGGCGGGTTTTCCCGGCATTTCCATAGTGCATTGTAGAGAAGATAAAATATCGAAATTGGCAAAGTGTCCAAAAAACTGCAAGAAGAAATAAATAGAAATATCTCGCCATTGTGTCCACACTCTGATATCAGTCAGCTGATTTCAGTTTTAGTAGTGTTAAGTTTATTTATTTGTTCATCGAAATTCGATCATTCAGGCTCATTTTCATAACACGATAATTCAATTCAAATTATTTATTGTCAGAATACAACTGGCGATTGCCGCTTATGACCAACTCCTTACTCAGCATGTCTGGATCAATCAAAACATTCGCAGCGCTCGTTGCTCAATGGCGCGGCGCGTAAATTTAAAAATATAAATTAACACTCGCCGTACCAAAAGTGGGTCAGCGATGACCCGTCAATCTAATTTTTCAGGAATATCTTGCGGCTCCGTGGCTTTTTTCTAGAGATATTCTGTAAATTCTTCTAATTTATGAAAGGAATGTTGCCTTTGGAATGAATTTTCCAAAAAAGCAATTCTTCCCTGGAAAACTGTCAATGGGTCACAAACGATCCGGTTTTTGGAAACAGCGGTATACGCTAAAACTCTCCAACTCGACAAGACGTAGCAAGCTTTTTTTCCCGTTTTACGAAATTTCTCGCTTTGGCCTTCAGTTTGCAATTGAACGTTACTCAGTCCAGTCTATTTTTTTGTGAATAAGCAATAGTGAAGTGCGATGTGGTCTAACAAAAAGGGTCTATCCGATAGGGACCACTACGAAATCCTGACACAGTCTTCAGATGACGAGTTTGAAGAAGAAATGCCTTTGGAGCAATCATTTAGTGATTTCTCAGTTGTTGAGGACGTAGAAGCTGAGATACTTGAAGGCAGTGTTTCATCAGAAGAAGATGAAGAAGTTCAATTACCGGATTCGCCAGAAGACAAAACAATGAGCAATAGGTAGTCGTACGATCTAGATAATCGTACTTGATATACCGTAGCACCTAAAACAGGAAAATCCAGATCATGCAATATCTTGCAAGAAAGCAAAGGTCTCAAAGATACGAGTAAGAATGTGAGTTCTATTACTGACTATTAGATATCATTATAAAATACACAAACAAAAAGGCTAATGACTTCATAAAGACCTATAATGAAAGCCATGAAGACACGATGGAGTCATGGATTAAGGTAGACACTACAAAAATGCTTGCTTTTTTAGGAATTTGTATCATCACCGGTAGATTTCGTTTATCAAGAGAAAGTTAACGAGATTTATGGTCGACTACAAGCAATGCTTTCACAAAACCCATTTATCAGGCCACTATGCCCAGAAACAGTTTTCGCTCATTCTACGTCACCTCCGTTTTGATGACCTATCTACAAGAAGCGAGAGAAAGAAGCAAGATAAGCTTGCTCCGATTCGTGAGATTACCGATATATTTGCGAATAATTGCAGAACATCTTACAAGCCTTTAGCTTTTGAGACTATTGATGAGCAGTTGGTAAGTTTCCGAGGTCGTTGTTCATTTAAAGTTTATATACCAAGTAAATCAGGCAAATATGGTGTAAAGGTATGAGCCCTTTGTGATACTGAAAATTTCTATTGCTGCAATTTTGAAGTGTATTTAGGAAAGTTAAATGGCATAGCAGAAAAGAATCAAGGTACTCGAGTCGTAAAAACTTTAGCAAGCCACTGGTATGGTATTGGATGAAATATAAAGGCTGATAATTTTTTCACCGTCATCACCTTGGCAGAAGAACTTTTGTCCCAGAATCTAACAATCGTGGGCACAGTACGCAAAACTTTCAAAGACTTGCCAAAGTCCTTATTGGATATTCAAAAAAGAGCAACCTATTCTTCCCAGTTCCTTTTTACACGGGATCTTACCTTAGTGTCCTACGTTACCAAGCCCAAGAAATTTGTTGAACTGCTATCTTTAATGCATGATGAACACGAAATCGCCGGAGAAGAATTAAAATTTAAACCTGATATAATTACCTCATATAATGATACAAAAAGTGGTGTCGACTGCTTGGATAAAATTGTACGTGAGTACAGTACCAAAAGGTGCATAAGAAGATGGCCTGTACGTTTATTTTACAACTGGCTTGACGTTGCTGCTTATAATGCATTCGTTGTCTGGACTCTGAAAAACCCAGACTGAAAGAGCACTAATGGTAACATGAAAGTTAGAAGGAAACTTTTTTTGGAAGAATTAGGTAATATGATGACCCATGACTATATTGTACGACGGGCTAGAAATATTCTTAGGACAGTAGAGAGTTTTCTGCAAGTACATGTCATGCTATTGAAAGTTGCGGAGTTTCAATAAAAAGAAACAACCAAAGCCCAACGTGAACGCCAAGAGGAGTCGATGCATTCAGTGTCGCGGCAACGATAATAAATATCCCACAAAATGTGACAAGTGCAAAAAATTTGTTTGTCCCCTACACTCAAACATCAAAATTAATAAAACAGTAGTTTGTTCTTGTTGTTCAAGAGATGAAGATGGAGAATAAAAATGTATTTCTAGTGATTTACCAAAATAAAAATAAATGTATTCTTATTATCATGATAAAATATTTAGTTTGGTGTTTTTCTTTTGCAGTGACATATTTATACCTTATCTTATGAATAAAAAGTTTATTTTGTTTTTTTTTTGTAATAAAAGTGAAGCATAATATAAAAACATGTTTTATTATGATTCCCAAGGTTTTGTATTCAAAACCACTAAACAAAAAATTTTTGTATCTGGGTCAATTTTGACCCTGTTCTGGAATCGAAAGTTTTAAAATTATTTTGGTACGGCGAAAGTAAAATTTCAACAAGAACAAAAAAAATATGAAAGAGAATAAAACAAAGATTAAAACATATAACCACTATAAATATATCGAATAAAATATTTATGAATTAAACATAGTCTTTAAATTTCACTGGTCTTGATCTATTTCTTTGGGATCGTTTGTTTTGATTCTCTTCTAATTCAACTTCCTCATCATCAATATTTTTGTTCTGTTCGGGTTCATCTTCAACTTTACCGTTTAATTCTTGTTCTATAATAGAGTCATCCCTTTCTTCGTCGTCACTGGATTCCTGGTCATCATCAGTACCATGTGCTGTGGCCTTTCATCTGAGATACATGGGCAGTAGTGGTGCGTTTTCTATATCCATCAAAGTAACCTATTACCTGCGATACATCAGGTAATGCATGCAAAGCGCGTTGTTCATTTGGCTGACTGGCTGAATTTTGAATATCACTAAGCTGAGAGGTAATTCTCTGAAGCATTTGCATCATTACATCATCTCTGCATTTACTCTCACTTATCATCAAATCCGTCATACGAGATAAATAAAAATCATTGTTATTACCTTGTGTATTTCCTGAGCAAACATTATCATTAGAAAAATCGTTTTCCTCAAGGCTATTATCATCTGAACCATTTTTCTCTCTGACATCTTATTTCTTGGGTTTCACACAGCACACAGTAATAAAAAAAAATATTCGCAAAAACTTCTGCAACTACCGATGTTTTTATTTTAAGAGTTATTTTTACTCAGTTAATAAAAGAGTAAATTATTTAAACACACTGTACAGTTTGTCACACAGTTTTTATGCGGGCACCCGACGCTAATAATAACATACAGTTCTTAAAAGTTTTTAAGACGAAATTTTTATATTGGCATTCATATTCCACTTCTGAAATGTAAAGTTTATTTATTTGTTCATCGAAATTCGATCACTCAGACTCATTTCAATTATATTTAAACACGATAATTCAATTCAACTTATTTATTGTCAGAATACTGTTAAGAGTGAGATTATAGGCCTTTTCGACTGACCCTTAAGCCCACTCTTAGCGTTAACCACGAGTTGTATAGAGGGGCCCAATTTGTATTAAAATTGGCCTCTAGGCAACACACGGCTAGGGGGTTAAGTTCAGATGAAACCTTAACTTCCTGACGATGATTCAGAGGAAAGGGGAAAGGGTTTGCCCTACAGGAACTATTCCCTTTGGCAGTATCCCTCTCTCTCAGAGATCGAATTAAGCCAATACCCCCGCCTCTGAATGATCGTAAGTTTTCCTAAATCAAAGAAAATTGAAACAAACGTAAAACAAATAACTATGGTTTATTTAAAAAATAACAAATTGTTGACAATATAATATTTATAATATAAACATGTCGTAATAAAAGAATTATTTACTATTATTTAACCAAAAGAATAATAATAAACCGCTCTTTTCGAATTTTTTTCTTTTCCTTGTTAGGCTTTTTTAAGCAAAAAATTATTTCAAAATTTAGATTTAAAAAATAAAAAATAATGAATTGAATAAGCATAGCCTCTTCGCATAAAATAATTTTAGTGAAATAGTACTAAAGAGGAATTTATAAACAAATATCTAGACAACAATCGTCAGCGAAAGCACGATTACTAGGTCATTATAGTCTTGACCATACACAATATTTTACTATTAGACTAGGACTCATTTAATTAAAGAAACAAGAGAAAAAATTTTGGATTTTAACTTATATAAATTATTTTTGTTCTGCTAAGTATGTTTTGTGATATGAACTTTGTTAAATAAATATGGTGTTTTTGAGGATAAAAACCAGTGCGAGCTAAAACCCATATTTTTGTACTTAATTTGATTTAACCCGAAATTGTGCATCGTCAAAAAACTTTAATTATAAACTTTAAATTACAATCGATTATTCTGTTAATCGATCAGTAAATTATTTCAATTGGATTAATCAAAATGGAGTTTAGATAGGACTCGATATTAAATAGTATTTCACAGTCTTTGGCAAAACTACAGGGAACTCCCAATATTATTCCTCATTTAAATAAATAATTAAATTGCTACTTTTTCTACTACTTTGAGTAAAATTATACAATATACACGTACTATACCTAGGTTATTTTATGACAGTAATTAAATAATATTTACATTTCAGCGGCAATACTCTCCCCTTTCTTTTTATTGTGTTATATATTTTTATGAAATGAGTTCTACTAAGGAAAATAGGTACTAATGTCTGCTGGAAAAAGGTTTACAAGAAGTGACAAGAAAAACGCGCATAAATTTGACCTGGTCTTCAAGCCTTCTTCAAGTCTTCAAGCGAGGAGTAGCGAAATTAATTCGCACGAAGATCCATTTGCCACTTCAATTATTGTAATAAAGCGCTCCCCAGTCAGAAACTTTAGTCGCATCGAACCCGCTTCCGAGGACGACGAAGCAATAAAAGAAGAAGCAGTACTAGAAGAAAAAGAAGAAGTAGAGGAAGAAGAGAAGGAAGAAGAAACAAAGAAAACAGTCTATGGAGACGAAGAGGAGGAGAACCAAGAGAGGACAGAGAGACTGGTGACGTAACTGTAGCGGGCACAACCTACTGGGAGGACACCATTACCTCACATAAAATAGAAGAGACAGTTAGTGGAATAAACTTGACAGAAGATCTGGAAAAACTCTACGAAGAAACCCAGAAGACAAACGTGGACAGTCCCAATCAGGAGAATCTCGTAGAGCCGGAGTCTGAAAAGGAAGAGGATCAAAAGAGATCGAAAATGGCGGATCAAACATTGATAGAGGCCATCAGTGAAGACAACAAACCGGCCGTACCGCAATTTATTCCTCCGCCCACATTTAACCCATGTACAGGAAATCCCCACTCCTTTATCGACATATACGAGCGGACAGCCATCGCAAATGGATGGACCAATGGACGGAAGATCAATTACTTAGCGTCATACTTAGAGGGGGCCGCAAACGTATGGTTTCGTCGATACAAAACAAAAGTGGAAAACCATAACAAAAGATGGGAGACGATAAGAAAAGAGTTTTTGGCAGAATTCGAGGAAAGGGGACATGAAACGTAACTTGGAAACACGGCTTTTGGCGAGGAAGCAGAAGAAGGGAGAGTCAGTGAAAGCGTATTATTACGATCTAACGACATAATTTTACGAATATGACCCAGATATGGATCCAGAGGAGTTTCGCAAGTTCTTCGAGAACGGTCTCAGTCCAGACCTGTTTAGCACTTATAGGATCCTACGGGAAACCCCAATGACGATGGACAAGTTTAAAGGGATTGTTTTTAGTCTAGAAGACATAACCGTCCATGCCACCGGTATATCAGCTCAGAATGCCTTGACTGCTGGTTTTAGGGACCTGACCCTTTATACGAGGGAACAGGGAGCGCCTCAGCCCGGTCACTCAGAATCTAGTCCCACACCACCTGATGGTAGGAACGGTGGAGCCAGACAACAATCTTCTGGCAGAGCTCGGTGGTCAAATTCAAGACCCCCGAAGAAGGAGTACAGGCATCCTGAACCAAGTACTCCCAGAGGAGGAAATAGGCATAGAGGTGCGTCCTCATATGCCCCGGCTACAAGGAGCCATGATGATAGGCCTCGGTGTTACAATTGTAACAGACCAGGTCACTTCGCAGCTACTTGTTTCCAAAAACCGTTTGGACCACGACGGGGTTACCCAAACGGGGACAGGCGAGGCGAGTAACCCCTCGTCTCGCCTTAACTACGCGACAGAGGCAGTCGTCAGGCCACAGTGGCGTTCTTACCATACAACTACTGGTAAATGGAACCCTATCACGTGCTATTGTGGACACAGGCTCAGCCTGTAACATCATCAAAGCAGGTTCAGAAAACAACATCGACACAAAGGGTAGCCGCCCTTTGCTGGCAGTGGGCAACACTCGGGTTTTCACTAAGGGTGAAAGCGACGTAGTAGTTGTCATTGGAGGAATAACAACCACGGTAAAGGCCTTAGTGGTTGAAAAACTACCGATATCCCTTATCTTGGGAATGGACTTCCTGAGGGGGCACCAATCTATAATAGACATAGCAAGGAACCATGTCACCCTTAAGGTGAATGGGTCGGAAGTAAAGGTGTCTATTTTAAGAAATAAGCCATCTACAGGGAACGTCAGTTGCCAAGTCGTACCACTATCAAAAGAAAAAGGAGGGGACTACAAGCAACTATACAGAGACGAGTGCCTGATGGGCATTAAAACAACGGTCCAGGCACTAGTTGAGTGCCAACAAGGATAAGAAAATGGATAGGATGGGAAACAGTACCGGAAAAGAAGGTAGAAAATTGAAGATGAAAGAAATAGGAAACAGCGTAGTAAATGGAAACAACAATGGAAAAAATGTTATGACTATTGTTTTACAAATGTTTTCTCTTAAAATACTTATTAAAATTTTGTAATAATTAATAAAAAAATCTGTATTAAAAAAAATTATTTCTTAAAAACTTTAAATCGCCTTGTAAGGGTGTTAGGAAGAACACCCTTTAGATTGGGCCTTAGGCGCCTCCACCATATGTTAAGAGTGAGATTATAGGCCTTTTTGACTGACCCTTAAGCCCACTCTCAGCGGTAACCACGAGTTGTATAGAGGGGCCCAATTTGTATTAAAATTGGCCTCTAGGCAACACACGGCTAGGGGGTTAAGTTCAGATGGAACCCTAACTTCCTGACGATGATTCAGAGGACGGGGAAAGGGTTTGCCCTACAGGAACTATTCCCTTTGGCAGTATCCCTCTCTCTCAGAGATCGAATTAAGCCAATACCCCCGCCTCTGAATGATCGTAAGTTTTCCTAAATCAAAGAAAATTGAAACAAGCGTAAAACAAATAACTGTGGTTTATTTAACCAATAAAAACAACTAATATTGCTTCCGCAATAACACAATAACTACATATAATTACTTAAAACTATTTACTTACATAAGCATTGTTGGGCTGCAAGGCTGGCGAAAGCAAACGTTACTTTTATCACTATGGTTTTTACTAAACACACTAATCGCGACCCGTGACTCTATTTTTTGGACACAAAAAAAAGGAATGTACTTTATTCAAATAAACTCGACCGATCGTCAACGTAGGCCAAAAGGAACTTCCCGAATATCACCTTGAAAAGTCTCAAGCGTGTTCTTGTTTATCTTTTCTTGACCATGTAATTTAATATTCTGATTTAATAAAACCTTGTCCAACTACACGTTTTATTATTTTATTGAATATTTGTTTGGCGCGCTTGCCCTTGGACAAAACTTTACAAATCATAACATACTTATTCACAGGGTGTTTATATTTATTCGTAACAATACTGCCGGCGATTGCCACTTATGGCCAACTCCTTACTCAGCATGTCTGGACCAATCAAAACATTCGCAGCGCTCTTTGGTCAGTGGCGCAGCGCGTATATTTAAAAATATAAATTAAAAGCTAACATTAGTGTTAAATCTTTTAAATTACTGGTAATAATTTAATCGTCATTGAACAATAATTATTATATTCCAGGACATTGAGAGGAAGTTTTTTTTTATTGAAAATATATAGTTTTTACTTACCTTGTGGTTATTTTCATCTCAACCATAAGCAAAACGACTTGTTCTATAGCCCTGCAATCGTTCAGAACGCTTTTCTGTTTCCACGGAGTCTGAGGAAGTTCCTCAAACGTTGTATTGTTAATTTCTTTAATGAAACTTTCCAAAAATACTTCGCGATATGAAGTCATACCACTGTTGGCTTGCGACAAAATACCGCATAACTAAAATATATTATTCTATTACTTCTAGGATATCAATAGGAAAAAGTACCCGCAATATACACACATCAAAATAATCTAGGAACAATGTATATTATAACTTGTATTGAGATCTTTAACTAAATGTTTCCAATGAATTTTGTTGGGTTGGCAATTACTTCTTGATTTTTTTTTTTTTTTGTTGTTGTTGTTGTTGATTGCATAAAAAAGAAACAAAGTCAACAATAAGTAGTTTCTTCGTAATATAAGAAGTGACGTTGTGTTATTTTTCCTTTATTGCCTACTAATCCAACAGATATAGTCAATGCTTTCGCAAAACATTTTCAAAGGTGTTACACAATAAATAGACAATACTGATTTTACTTCAGTTCCATCAGTGTAATTTTCATAAATTTAGGCTTTTCATATATTTAGAGTAAAAGTGTAATTCAAAGTTAAACACCTAGATGCTGCCAAAAATGCAGGTCAGATACTTTTTACGGAAAAATTGAGTGTTTAACAATCAATAACAATTTTCAGAGGAATTGAATGCAAGAGTATAAAATTGATAATTTTATTCTGAGTATCCTGCAGTGGGGCAGTAATTAAGAACTGTGGATGTCACATATTTTACTGACATACCTACTAAAGCATTAATTCAAGAATGTTTTGTTGGTTTATAAAATTTTATCGAGTTTATTAAGTTTTTAAATATTTTAATGTTTAAGCCAATAATTTTCTTTGGAAACAATGCATACTTTTAAAACAATGTTTCTTATACATTTGAATACATACATTTTTAAATATAGTAAATATAAGACAGAGTGGGTTGTACAAAGAATGCTGTAAACTCAGTTTAGCTAACAGAAGTTTAATTTTTAACTGGTTATATTTTAAATACATATGTCATTCTTAAAACTATGTTTAACAATAACCGATGATTATACAAAGAGGTTCACTGTTTAACTTTTAACTGCATATTGTACAACCCGCCCATATAGTTAATATTTTATTACTTGTCTCCTAGATTATTTTAGTTTACGTTTTAAAAATATAGGACATTTTAAACAATACCTGTACAATATCCCTTGATCTGGTATTCACATTCGTCAAATAAGGGTACGGTTGAACATTCTTTCCATCTAACATCTCGTAGATGCATCTAAAAATACTACAGGGAGTTTCCGAACATCCCGGCCAAAAGTTGATGTTCTTCAATTCGCTTTGGGGAATCACAGAACTCGCTTTTAAGACAGCTTGTTCGGGAAAATCGAGCCAATAGTACAAGTTGTATTCTTTTAAGTTGAGATCGACGGAGAGCTGATTAAGAAACTTCATTAACGGTAGTAGTTCTTCTGATCTGAGCGTGTTGAGCTTAATGTCTTCGTATAACAGGTGAAGACTGAAGTGTATTTGGCGTATGTAAGGAAATAGTACACCTCTTGCGTCTATACTTTCCTTGAAATCGTCGTCGATTTTCGACTTATTGTGTGATTTTTCTATTTTTATCGTGTTAGATAAGCTTTCGTTTACTTTTGAATGATCACATGAACAAAGGTATAACCAGTCGTCGTCTGTACCGGAAGAGTATTTTTGTTTTTTAGATAGGCTAGATGGCGTTATGGGAGGATCTTTTGATGAATCGTTGTCTTGATCGTCGTCGTAACCAAGAAGTTCTTGAAATAAAACAGAGGCGAAAACTTAGATATATAGTCTATTTGAAGAATAAGAAGGAGTGCGTTCTCAGAAATGTAATAAAATTTGATATACTTTTCTATTTCAATATAAAACTTGCTCTTGCCGACCTTTCGCATTATTTAGGTATCTTCTACTATTATAACAATGGATCTAATCTCTTTAAATGTGCCTTTAGTCAAACCAATTGCGGTATATTTATAAACATATTTTATTTAATAAAAAAACCTTTCATCCGATAAGCAGATGGGCGAAGGTCGACCTTATTTCGTATCTTAGACTATTGCACTTTGAATAAAGACATAAAAACAGTTATTTCGATTTTTAATCCTACTAAGAATATGTGCCATCCAAATCAATTTTATGGTTCTTTGTAAATATTTTTTAAAGGAACAAATGGTTCCTAAAAAAGAGATAATATGCATTTTTCCGTGTGTAAGTGTGTAATTCTTTAGTTAAAGTTAAATTTAACTTCTGAGATGAGAGTTTGCCCGTGCAGTGTATACTTATGTGTTTAGTTTATTGATAGTAAACAAAGGATTAACATTATTGCTGTTGGAGAAATTTAAAAGTGTTTTATATAAAGTCGAAACGGCATCATTTTTAAAGCGCATATTAACCCTTGAATATTGAAATGGAAACGAAATCAAAAAAGCGAAAAGTGGGTACATGTTCATTGGAAAAATGTATTTTAAAATAAGAATAATAATGTACACAAATCCAATAAACACAATCGGACCAAAGTTACTTAGGTATTATGGTATCATAGAATCAAAGTAAACATGCAACGAACACTTAAAAGTAACGATATTCAACATCTCTACATAGACCGACCGGCAGGTTTTGCCCTATCGAGAATTCGAATCGTCAGCCTGTGCGTGCGACGCCGAGCTGAACGGTTCCAATTCAGTTGGCGCTACTTCATTTTATTAGGATGATATCAAAATCTGCTAGCCTGTGCCTGCTCAATGGGCGCGCTCCTTAACAGTTAACAAACGGTACCTAATATTATGTAACTGTAAAATTTTTGTTATTTTTAGCTTTATTACCGGGAATTAGGGTTTGGAGAAATTCCCCAGGACGTATGGTGTACTTTTAGTAGACTTTTTAGAAAAATAAAAAATTTATATAGAATAGACATTGTGACATTAAAAATACTAATAAGTAACATGCATAAGTATTTAATTAAAAATAATGCCTTTATTGTAGATGGCAGCGCACATAAGATAAAAGAAAGATGATTAGGAAGCCTATGATATTCGACTTAAAAGAATTGCAACTTAGAAAATATTATTAAATATTGATCTGAAGACTGACGAAACATACATCCACAGCTTACATGTGCAATCTAAGGGATGGTATGATATATCAGGAAAAGGTTTGAAGAAGCCAATCTCAAAAGGAAGGAGAAAACAGATATATTTCTAATGCCTTATTAATATTTCATTGAGGTACATTTCTATATATATTGAAAAGTGTTATTTTGTAAGTATCGATTGTCCCAAATATACACTGTATATATCAGGTATAACATGTTTAACTTAGTTTAGGGTAAAACCCCGTTTAACAGTAATGACTATAGTAGTAAAAATTGTTTAATTTGAATGTGTGAAAAAACAGACAATAACTTCACTCATTAGCGTCCATAAAAATGTTTGTTGAGCTAGAAAGAAAAACACGTACAACCTGATTTAAGATACATTTTTGAAAGTTATACTACTGTTATTTATGTTTTTTTCATTGGTTTTAAAACAATATATAACAAATAGATAATTTTAACAGTCAAATTAGAAAACACAATTTAAAATCTCTTAATATGACTTGTTGCACTCCTATTTTTTATTATTATTTTTCTCAATGCTTCACTTCATATGTGTACTGAATGTTTAATTATGTAATTTATTAACAAAACAGCAAATTCTCATATGTTTTCTAGATTAAATTTATTCTAAGGTTCTAAAAGTGGAGACTAGCATGATGACATGAATCATTCAAACTTTATGAAGTGAGTTCAGGAACAACTATTGTCCAATATGCCCGAGAAATATTGAAGTTGTAGATAATGTTTCTTACTAGAACATGAAAACTGAAAAAATATTACTTCGGCATCTAGGAAAGCAGAAATGTTAGAATAGCTTAGGGGAAAGTTTACCATGATGTCAACAAGACAAAATCCGCTTTTTGTATGAATTAATAAAAATATTTCAGTTAGGTATTCCCGTTTCCTATAAATTGGACTGTTTACTGAAAGAACATGGGCATAAAGTCTTAGGGTTGCCACCTTATCATCCAGAATTCAACCCAATAGAAAAATCTGGGCACTGGTTAAGAACTGGGTGGCAATGCACAATACCACATTTAAAACGGGATGATGTGGAGAAATTAGCCAGGAAGAAATTTTCTGAAGTTTATGTTCAAGAATGATGTTCTTTTTTCGAACATGTAAAGAAATGCGAATCTAAATGGATTAAAAAAGAACACATTCTTGATAATGCTGTAGATTCTCTTGTGTTTACTGTAAATATGGGATCGTCGGATGAATCTACTTCAGAGAATAATTGCAGAAATCACAGAGGTAGTATTATAGAAATGCTTAGTGACTCTGAAAGTGATTAATAACAGGTCTACAAGAAAAAATTACCTCAATTTTTTCCAGCATACCTAGATTCTAGGCAAACATATTTCAAATATTGTGATATTGCTTAAATTGGTGATTATAAAATTGATATATTACTAAAGTCAATCTTAAATTTCTACATAATATAATTTTCCAGTAACTAGAAACTAAGATTTAAAATTTCATCAATTTGTTTAACTGCAAATAGGATTAAATAAGTTTTAATTTTTGAAGTAAGGGAAAAGTATAAAATGTGCACCATGTGCAACTTTACTAACAATCAATTGAATAAGAAATACAACAAATATTTATCACTAAGCGATTTTGTATTCATTCTTCTTACACTTATCATTTGATTAACTACTATTGTATGCTGCAGATTTCGTTTACATTTTTTAGATGTGAAATGTTTTAAAAATTTATATATTTTTTCCTGCTATTCCATATTTAAAACTTTTAGTACTAAAGTTACTAAAATTCCAACTTTTCAATGATTTTTGAGTAAACCATTTATTCAAGAATTCCTAAATTAAAATAAACAAATTTTATAAGTTCCTATTTTGTGTTTTTTAAACCTTTTTTATTACTTGAACGAGATATACTTAGGACTTGAAATAATAGGCTATTTATTATGTCCTAAGAATACGGCAACCATTTTAAAGGAAATTTATTCTACTTTTTTTGTATGAATTAATACCTACACTTATCTCTACTCAGAAAGCAATTATAAGCAAAAAAATCTTTTTTTTTATATATATATATTTCATATTAAGTATGCCTGAATTTTGCTTCGCTCAGAAAGCAATTATACGCAATAAAGTAAAAAAAATGGGTTTTTTGTTTTTTAAAATCTTTTTTTTATAATTTTTATCTAAAAAAAATTAAACTATAAGAGATTTGTTTACAAATTGCACATTTTTTTTATTATTTTAAAATGTCCTGTATTAAAACGGGTAAAAATTGACCAACCATCAAATTTAAAATATGGCGCAGATAACGAGACGTTTGCGCATACGACTGCAATTTCAGGTGGCTTCTTCTGTCGTGAAACGGATTCTACTCATGATACAAGAAACAGAGGTATGATACTTAGCCGACGAAATCTCGTCGAGATCGCGCATGACGTATTGTGGTGTGGAATATGGTTGGCCATGAGCGGATTAAAAATTATTTTCGTGCCTTGTTTTCGATCAAATGATACGTCAAATTCGTAAAAGCCACGCCTTCTATCACATTACGTCACCGTGACGTATAGGATCAATCTGCGTAATATCGTACCTTATTTTTATGGTATCATGGTTCTACTATTCACATTTCCTTTTACTTACCAAGAACTAGAGCAGTAAACATACTCCATTCCTGTTCAAAGGTCACATCTTGAGCTCCGATAACGTTTTTCGTGGCGTACCATCTGCACAGTAATACCGCAGCGATATCTTTCTGTAAAATTTGTCGTAGCGTTACCAAGCAACTTTCCACCAACGATGTAGACGACAAACTTGGCAGTGTTATTCGATAAAAAGTTCCGTCGGAATATTTTAGAGTTAGTCTATCTTCTATGGCATCAATGAGACCGTTTAAGACGACTTTTCTGTTATCACCTAGAAAGAGGAATTATATTTTTTTATGTTCAAGAAAGAATATTCAATATAAAAGGCAATAGCGCAGCTTATGACCAATCGTGACTTATTTATAAATAAAGACGAGGAATCGATTCTTTTCGAAATTAGAAGAACAAATAAAAACGGATCTTAAGAAACAGAAAATAAAGGAACAGATAAGCGACATATAAAACGGAACAGAAACACAGCAGGACCAATAAAATGACGGAAAAAACGAAGTTGATGTGGACCAAATTAATTTATGTACGGAATTCTCAAAAACTACTTCCATTTCTATAGAAATTTAAAACTTATTACTATTTATAATTGTTAGGGAGGGTAAAGAATGCTGTAAACTAAGTTTAGCTAACATGAGTTTAATTTTCAGCTGGTTATATTCAAAGGACAAATATCATTTTTAAAACGGTTTAAAAATAATAACCGATGATTATACAACGAGGAACGAGGTTCACAGTGTAAACTTAGTTTACATTTTAACTGCCTATTCTACCTTTAAAATAACAAAATTTTAACTTTTAATTCACTTACGATCTGTATAACTCATATCAAGAACGGGATTTCTTGTTCCCATGCTCGACAACGCTGGTAATACTGGGGATAACAAATGCTCATCGAATTTAGGATCTGTAGATTTTAAATGTGGAAGAAGGCTGCTACGTCTTAAAAAATAAAGAATGGAATAAGATATCTTACTAATTATGGTTAAACTAGAATCTTAAAAAATTAAACTTACCTTGGATATGGGGAGAAATTTAGTTGAAGTGTGGTTCGTCTGATATAAGGCGAAGGTGTATGCTGAGCCAAAGTACCACCAATATGAAGTTTTCCAATAATATTTAACCCCGAATACAGAGTAACATTGCCGCTATGTTCCAATATAACCAACATATGCAAATGCTAAAAAAAGATTGATTTATAGACATTGAGGCACATAGAATAACAGAGGTCTATCTTCATATAGGGCTGTTTTGATATTGCTGTTTTTAAAATGTATTACACATAACATTTTCTGTTTTGAAAAATTATTATGGAATAAGTACCGCTATCTTTCAGTCAAAAAGTACCAACTATATACTGAGAGATACACATTATACAACTCATTTTAAATCGAGTGCAGCTATATGAAAAAAAGCTGAGTGAGGCCACTATTATTCTATGTGCCTCATATTAGAAACCGGATATTGGTTCAAAGACCAATAAACCAGGACCAATACGCCTATAGTGCATGAAAATCAACAGAAAAAGCTCTCCAAAAGGGTAGAGAACACATTGGAAAATAACATGTTAAGAGCTCTATGCTAAGAGGGAGAATGATATATGCAACCATTATGGGAGACAATAGCAGCTCGGGTTGCGAGGGGATGCCCACAGAGATAAGTACTGTGTCAACTCCAGTGGAACCTGGTCATGGATGAGCTGCTTATTAGAATTCTCAAAAATAATGGAGATAAAACCCTGGGATATAACAATGACATAGGGGTCATGGCACTGGGTAAATACAACACTACAGTTAGAAATGGATAGAAAAGGAAGGACAAATCTGCCATAATTGCATTCACGGGCAGGAGAAAGTTAGAGGAACTAAAACCGATAAACCTCCGAGGTGATAACGTCCAACTAAAGGGAGAGGTAAAGTAACTCGGGATTAAAATTGACTCAAAACTTACATAGATTCAACATTTGGAAAGAACAACAAGAAAACCGGAAACATCACTAGTGATGGCAAGACGCTCCTTAAAAAAAAGAACTGAAACCAGGAAAGGTCAATTGGACATACAATATGGTGGTAATAGTAATATACGCTGCTTTGGTGTGGGGGCCAAAGACACAACAAAGAGCGGCGCAATAACGAAACTAAAGGTACAGAGACAACTAGACTAACTAGAATAACGGGGCAGTGAGAACAACCCCGACAGCAGCAAAGGAAGTAATAATAGGCTTGCCACAACTTCTTTTTGTGATACAAAAAGTAAACTAAAAACAGTTTTTTTATGTGACCCAATTTCTTATGTCATTAGTGTAAATTTTATTTTATTATGTTGGTTGCATTGTCCTTGTCTAGAAGGCCTCTATTTAATCCTCAAACTATTTTTTCTCTGAATTGACGTTGATATTTCGATCTTTAAGTATTTAACACATGTAAATAAATATATAAAAATTCTTTGCGAATGTGGAGGTTAATGTCTCATGAAACGGAAACCATGCTAGGACTTTTCTGTAAGTTAATTTTGTGAGAAATATAAAATACATTTTGATGAAATTTATGACTTGTTTACGTACCGGTATGGGAACAGCATCTTTGGCGCTAATACTAGTAAGCATACCAAAAATTAAATTGCGTCCTGAAAAATCTACTTTTACTATAGACAGCTGAGACCTAGACTCCAAAATGTAGCACAGGTATTTTTGACCTACGAGATCGTCTGTAAAGAACACTTTAGATGCCGGCGCCGCCATATTACTATCCCTGAAACATACATTATTTAAAAAATAACTAAGTAACAAAATTAAAAAGAGATAAAGTAAATAGTATTATCCACAAACATAATACAAGAATTCGGTTTCTAATACCATTACATAGGTCTGCATTTGACTAATTCCTAATTATAGGTCATAATTATTAGAAACTGCTAAATTAGTCATGCACTGAATATACATTAAAAAAAGGAAAATAATTTCAACTCAAATGTGACACAGACGTAAAATAAAATAAATAAAACAAATCCCATATGTCACACGAAATATGAGCGACCGTTTTCCTTTGGAAAACAACTACTTCTTTGGCTAATACCGCAACAGTTATTGAATTATATCCAAAGGAAAGACATCTGAGATGGAAATTTAATTTCAACATGCCACCTCTAATTTTGCATGTCCGATAGCCAAACAGCCATCAAAGCACTGAGTCCTACCTTATAATCAGCTCAAAAATGGTCTGAAGAAGTTGTCTAGAAGTGTTTTTCAACCTTTTTCATGATGCGACCCCCCTGGTATAAAAAAATATTTCGCAACGCCCCGACCCTTCGCTTTTTTATCATGTATGTAAGCGATATGGCCACTGACGTCCGTGATCAAGTCAAAAAAAAATAAAGGAAAGTACTTTTGTATCTTTGCAATTTGACGAATCCACGGATATTGCGGGTTGAGCGCAGTTTGTAGCTTTTGTGCGTTTTGAATCCAGTGAAAAATTAATGGAAGAAATACTATTTTGCAGAGCGCTTCCCACAAATACTACAGGTCAGTGCTTGCATAACATGTTCCTTGAAGCTACGCAAGATATGAATATCGATTGGGCAAATAAACGTATTGCTATTTGCAGCGACGGAGCAAAAGCGAGGACTGGTGCTAAGAGTGGATTTATTGCTAGGCTGAAAGAACAGATGCCAAACGCTTGTTGGATGCACTGTTTTCTCCACCACCAAGATCTTGCAGCCAAAACCTTCCCACATTAATACAGCCAAGTTCTAAATAATATAAAGATTGTAAATTCTATTAAAGGAAACGCGTTGCAGACACGATTGTTTCTGATTATTTTTGAATATATGGGGGCACTCCACCAACATTTACTTTACCATACAGAGGTTAGGTGGTTGTTAAAAGGCAAAGTACTGACCAGAGTTATGGAACTTCGTGCTGAACTTTTAATATATTTTCAGCAGGCCAAGTCAGAATACTCTGAATTCATTTGCAACCCGGAATTTCTTTTGAAATTAGTTTTTCTTTCTGACTTATTTGAGCATTTAAATATCTTGAATAAAAGTCTTCAAGGGCGAGATGAGAACGTCATTACTGCAAAAGTCAAAATACATAACTTTACAAAAAAAATTGACTTGTGGTCGTCGGCTATAAATCAAAATAACTTCGATTCATTTTCGTCGACACAATCTTTTACTGAAGAAGTCGGATGTGAGATAAACATCAAGGAAAATATACCTGGTATAAAAATGGTGTTAGATAATTTGAAAGAAGAATTGTGTCATTACTTCTCAGTGCAAGAGACATCGAAGAACACTGGGCAGAGGTGGATTTTAAATCCGTTTTTAAATGCAGCTATAAATGAGGTTAATTTTACAACTAAGCTCAAAGAGAATCTGCTAGAATTATCTGCCGATGGGATGTTACACTTGGAATTCAAGTCTGTTAATTTGGATACCTTTTGGTTAAGGAGAAAAAAAGAATACCCGGAATTGACAACTGAGGTTTTGAAGTGTTTTATTGCATTTGCCACCTCGTACTTATGCGAGTTGACATTTTCATCAGTGGCCCAAATAAAAAGTAAGCAAAGAAATCGCTTAAATTTGGAAAACGATTTAATTCTATATGGGAACGATTGTCATGGTAATGACTAAACAAAAATACAAATCCAGTGGCGAGGAAATGCGTAGGTACTAAGTTATATGATTGAAGTAAACTTTAGTTTAGCTGAAATCAGTTATGGCGAAACTGTTGCCATATGGACGCTTATCATGGTAACGACTAAACAAAAACCCAAAACATGTGGCGAGGAAACGCATAGTTGTCAAGTTACAGATGATTTAATTTAGCTGAAATCAGTTATGGAGAAACTGTTGCCATAGGGATGCTTATATCATAGTAACGAGTAAACAAAAACCCAAATCCCGTGGTGAGGAAATGCCTAGTTGCCAAGTTATATATGTTAATTTCACTATAGTTAAGCTGAAATCAGTTTCGGTTTTAGGGACAGTCGTCACGGTAACAACTAAACAAAATGAAAGTTGCAAAGTTATAGATGATATTTTATAATCTAACTTTAGTTCAGCTGAAAGGCATTTTTCATGCAAGCCACCTACTAGCTTGCAAGAGAAATGCCTTCTACCTATTACTTTCATTTTATATTAATTTTATATTGTACTAAGTAATTAAAACGGTTGTATTTTTCAATGTTAATACTTTTTAGATAGAAACTTTTTGAGGCACATTGCAATTTCCAAAATATCTTTAAAATATAGCTACACTAGTATTCATCTTCTTGTATAAAAGTAATTTTTAAAAAATCATATTTCATAGTCTGGACCGACGCGTATGTTACAAATGGCTTTATATTTGTTCTAATGCAACTGGGGTAATAATATTTATGATTGTATTATTACGTTTGTCCATTACCGTGATCTCAGACTATTGGACTCGGTCCTTTGGAAAGCATACGAGTGGCCATGTAACCAACAAGTAGAGGCCCTTTGGTAAGAGATAAACATGGCGATAAAACTCTTGACTGCTTCATATATCCTGATTTGTTTTTATATTACTAAGAAGTAATAATTAATTTTATTTGCGAGCAATAAGCACTACAATGACAGGATATAAGCACTGGCGTATAATGCAATAATTTAAATTTAGGTTGATATAACTCGGAAAGAACAAGAACCTAATTGAGAGTCGTATTGAAAATAAACGTTCTCCTTTCAATTGTTATATAACTTAACCTTATTGGGGTGGGGCAATTTCCATACATGTCTGCCCATTGTCCTTCTATCAACAAGTCAAGTGTATTATGTGCAACAAGTGTGATGTCATTTGTAAACGGTCACTGTCGTTTTTGTCGAAGGTTCTGTTTTGTGTTTCAACTTTGACTTCTCCATGGTCAGTTACTGAGTAAGAAATGTTTATCCAATCAATTCAAACCAGTGAAGATAGATAAAAATATCACCTTCATATCACATTTCAGGCGATATAAAAAATAAATATTGCACTTGGCTAAATTAATTCAAGAAACTAAATAGTTGTGTCTATGTTAGATATGTACCTATATCAAGAAGTCTTAATTAAATATTTACCGATATCAGTACCTGGGAGGTAAACTGAACTGTCGTACAATTTATAGAGGCATGTTGAAGGTATATGCCAAAAAAAAAATGTTATCAGAAAATAGAAATATGTTACCAGAACTAACAAGTCATGTATATTAAAAAAAGTTTTAATAGTTAGATTATTAGTAAACAATACATATTGTGACAATAATTGGGGCTAACTGCATTACTTGTTGACATATAATTGATATAAGTAAATATGGAACACAAAAGTATCCAAACAACATTCAGTCTGCTCTACTAAAAAGTTGACTAGAATGACTGCAGTTTACCTCAGAGATACTGATTACCCATTAAATAATTTTCAAAACTTTAACTTTATCATTTTTTTTATTGTACCTTTTTTTTAATCTATTTTGTTATTGTTTTAGCCTTGATTATATTATTATTATTATACTCTTCACACAGTAGTCTGTGAAGAGTATTATTAGTTTACTTTGTCCGATGTCACGTTTTTTTGTCTGCATGATAAGACAAAAATGAAAAATGATATCAACTTGAAAATTTTAAGCAAAAAACAAGCTCTATAAGGGGACAACGTCTATTGATTTAAAAAAAAATCTAATTTAAAATGACGGTTTAATGGGGGTTGAAATTAAAAAAAAATCATAAATCAAAAATTAAAAGTAAAATCAACATGAAATTTTTAGTAAAAATCAAGCTCTTTAAGGAGATGAGGCTTATTGATTGTGAAAAAAAAATTAATAAAAGTGGGGGGGTTAAGGGAGGTTGAAATATTTAAAAAAATTCTAACTCAAAAACAAACAATAATATCAACTCGAAATTTTTGGAAAAAATCAAGCTCAATAAGGAGATGAAGCCTATTGATTATGAAAATAATTTGATTGAAAATGGGAGTTAAAGGGGGTTTGTTAAACTGTGAAGAGTATAATTTAGAATGCCACGCATTATATATCTTCAGTCTAGTTTGTATCTGGGTAATGTTATGTATTATAATAGGACTGATCTTATAAAATAAACATTTTAGTTCACTTGGTTTATTTGCCAATAAAAGGTATTCAAAAAATATATTATTTTATTTGACATGTGTCGCAAATATGAAGACTAGAGATAAGGAGGCGAATCGGCATGCTCAAAATACGGTCCCAAAAATCACACGTCAATTAAGCTTTTATAATTAACCGAATGGGCGCTGGTACGGTTTACGTAGTTCAAAATACATGGCTTCTTATGGGAATTATACATAATTTTGTCAAAATAATAAAAATAAACTTGTTTATAGCTAAATAAAGCTCAGAACATAGTGTTGTATTTATTTCTAAATAAGTCTTACATATTTTAATTGATACATTATTTACTATTTATTCCTATTTAAGTAAAATGTAAATTATTCATGATAAGTGTTGAAATTTGATGGGTAGAGCTAATTATTTTTTAATTAAAGCTAAATAAGGCTGAGGGCATACTAAGACACGGTTTAAATGAAAATATTTAGTCAGGGATTTTACAAAATTTTATGAAAATAATAAAAATCAAATTGTTTATTGCTAACTAAAGTACAGAAAAAACTGTTGGTATTAATTATAAATGAGTCTTTATGTTAAACATTTACTATTCATTATTTAATTTTATCTAAATAAAATGAAAATTAGGTATGACCAAATTTGAAAAGGTTTGTTAAATGGTGAAATTTCAGTTCGGTTCAATGGTGGTTTCGTCTTTTCCTAATACTGGACAAGTATGAAGGGAGATTTGGGAATATACATGGTATTGCTTCGTTTTTTAATCTCGGCCTTTCCCTTTTTATTTTGTTAACAGTACCATTCTCATCAAATTTTAAAATATCATCTTCTAAAAAGTGTAGCTCGCAAACAGAATCATAACAGTACTTTATCAGCCCTAGGAATCACATGCTGCCGTTGTTCTAAACGTTTAGGATCCTATAAAAAATATTTGCAATGACTAAATTGGAGTTCAATAAAGAAAAATAACAGTAGTAACTCTTCATCTAACATCAAAAAACATAAAAAAAGCAAATTTTCTTTTCTAGTAAGTTAAACTTAATGTGTAATTATTGTTGTTTTAAGTCAGGATTTATGACTTTATTATTTTTTATTATAGAATTTTGTAATTAAATAAACTAAACTCCATAAGATACGGGTTGTCACTATTTTACAATAAATATACATTATTTAGAAATAAATCCATTGTTTTACTTACACTAGGAGCTTTAAAAAGACTTGGATTTTTATTTTCTTGTGTTTTCTTTAATTTTATATCGGATTTATATCCCGTTTTTCAACCCGCAACGAAGCAAATCCTGCTTTGCCGTTTTTTGTTACTCATTGTTACTTGTAGCCAGGTTCTTTATTTCAGCTTATTTTTATTCTTTTCACTAAATTTTACAAAAATCAATTTAATTCCCATTAACTTGCATAGAAAATAGACATCGTTATTTTGCCACCTGCCAACTACAGTAGTATTTTGGAACTCCTTAAAAGTAGGGACGGAAATTTGAAATTTGACCAGGGCCGATTCGCCTCCTTATCTCTAGTCTTCATAGTCGCAAATTATGAAAATGATTAAATTTACAAAAAAAAAACAGTAGGTAAAGTTTCATATGATATTTTTTACACAAAAATCAATATCAAGTTTTGTACATAACCTGATATATATTTAAAAATAATCTCAAAACATGAAGAAAAGTGAGCTGACTATAACTAATAATGTTTATAAATGATTTTCAATGTGTTAAAAACAAAACAAATATTACAATAACTAAAATATTCATTAATAGTTGTAGTTTGTAGTGCTTGCAAACAGTATGATATTGATAATAATAACTTTAATATAAACCCAAATAAAAAAACAGCGATATTGGCGCTTATACAAAGTTAGGAACCGAACTTACAAACAAAATTATTGGAAAAAAGTGAACACCATTTTTAAATTACCCGGAGCCGCCACTGCTTCGGACCATAAGACGCACCCAAAATTATCAATTTTTTTATGTAAAAAGGTGCGTGTTATAGTCCGAAAAATACGGTAATTTCATTAAGTAAAGGTTAACATATGTTATCAACAGTTTCAATCTTATATACCAAAAATCTATCATTAAAATGTTACTCACTGTATTGAATAATTATCAGTCCACAAATAATCCAAACAAATGGTAGGATTGGCTCTCAGAAAAGATACAGTTTTGGACAAGTCAAAATACGACTTAGCAGAAATAGCGGAATTTTTCATGCTATTGTTTAATTTAGAATTTTGTTCTAACCAAGGACTGTTATAAGTAGTAGGGGCTGGTGATTGACATCGACTGAAAAATAAAAATAATTCACAAAATCTAAGAAATCTTGAAAATAATAATAATTTTTTGTAATATAATAAGGTTTACCTCATCATTGCCATGGAACTTTGTGATCTAGAATTAGGTAATAAATGTCCTGCAGTTGAAATTGCACTAATGGGACTTGGTGGTACATTCCTACTGTTTACTACATTTTCCCACATGGAAAGTTTACTTTTTAACTAAAACAATACTCAATAACCATTATTAAAAAGTTCAAATATATCATACTTTATTAAATCACAAGTACCTTATTTGACTGAGTGGTACACATATTAGACAATTTATCACCAAAATCTTGTTCATCTGGTCTTATTTTCCTTATTCTATATACACTATGTTGCTTAGAGGCAGTATCATACATCAAACATATGCTTGGATTGTCACTGGTAAATACAACCTGCATGTTGTTGTTATTTAAAATCGATAGAGAGCCATTATGGTTAAGTACAACTGGACAAATATCATCTAGTGGATATGCCAGAGAATACAGTGAAGCTCTCATTTCATATATGTGATCTTTTGGAAAACCTTTGAAAAAAATTCATTTTTAAACAGTCTGCTTATTTGAACTGTTTTAATGATATAGTCCAGGAGATAGCGTTGCAATTTATCAGTTAATTTCATCAAATATAATTATTTTGGTATAGAATGATTGTTTGAAAATAGTTAATACTTGAAAAACTCATTGGTCATTAACGTCTTGGTAAAGCTGATTACATAATTTTATAAAACTAATCGTCAGCAGATGCTATAATGGTGGAAATATCATCAGTTAATTAATTAAATTATAAGAGGCTGGTACCCCATGCACGCTCGAAATCTATGGCCCCAAGCTGACAGCCTTACCCTCACTAGAAGCATACCTGATTGTTACTTTTCATCAGTACAATGTTATTGTAAACATGTCGTATAAGTTTCATGATTTATGTAACAAGTTTGTATCACTTTTTATTACAGGTTTATGAGAATAATTGACGAATAATGCAGCAGTGGTGTATTTTTCTGAAAACTTGGCCAAAATAAAAATATGACTGCAATAGATTCGTAAATGATAGTAGAAATGTCCCTCTACACTGAACTATAATTATCACCAGAATATAATATCTAGTGCCCTCTGAGCAACAACTGTTTAAAAATTCAAGTATTTCCAAGCAAATAATTGTGCAGAGAATTCATTTAAAATTGTTGTTTTTTATTTGCTTCTGTTTTATTTATTTTAATAATATGGATTTTGTAGCTGGAGGTATAAGCAAAGTTTTTGAAAATGTATATTAACATTTATGACTACCTGTTAAGTATGAACTAAGTTTAACAAACTAGCTGTCACAGTTTCTGGTTGTTCTACATTTATTTATTTATTTTGTGTAGACGAATTATTTTGCTTTCTGTAGATTTCCAGCTTATTATTGTAATTAACTTATATGAAAACCAAGAAAAAAATTGAAGAATTGCAATTAATAATCGAAGAGCTTAACAATACACTTTGTGATAAGGACAACTACATAAAAAGGCCCAGGACTTCGAAAATTATAAGGGGTGCTGTAATCACCTCAAAGAAATTATTTTCTCAATGCCCAATAAGAACAGTCCAGATGATATAGGCATGGCATTTATAAAAAATACCTATGATAATATTGCTAAACCCTTGATAAATGTTATCAATACTTCTTTAGAATCTGGTAAGGTCCCAGATGATATCAAGGTTTCCACCATTGTACCAGTTCCTAAAGTTGCAAAATCTAATAATGCCTTTGATTTCAGACCAATCAATATGCTTAGCTGCTTTGAAAAACATTTAGAAAAAGTAGTCTATGAACAAATTCCTGATTTCATAGAAATAAACAAATTTTTAACCAAAGTCCAGTCAGGTTTTCGCAGTAAGCATTTATGCAGAACTGCTGTGTACAATGGGTCCTATGATTGAACGTTTACGTTATCCGTAACGTACATGTTAGGCCGAGTTTTAACAGTTCGTATGATGGAAAACTTTTTCCAACACGTTACTGTTATTTTCCGCCTGTTATCTTCTAATTTAACAGTTTTCCATCATCCGAACTTGCCTCGTTACTTTTAAAATTCGACCTAACATGTACGTTACGGATAACGTAAACGTTCAATCATAGGACCCAATGTATGCTGGATGATTTGAAAAGAGGTCTTAACCCTTTCACTGCAAGAGCCGTCCAGAGCCGCATCACAAAGTGGCAACTGAAGTGCGTGAACCGTCTAAAAACGCAGGAGCTTCCGATAGGTTTAACTGCGAGACCCTTACGCACATTGCGTTCGGTCTGCCAAATTCCTTTAACACCAAACGACCCTTTTAGCGTTCGGTTTAGTCCGATTAGTGACAGTTTAACACGCTTAAATGTCATTTAAAAGCACCCTAAAATTTGTCCCGCTCCAGCCCCTGACTATCCGAACTCGCCTGCATACGTTCGTTAGTAGATATCTGCTTATCTGTTGTTGCCTTCGCTGGACACTAGACGTTCAAACTTGTAAAAGCCTGTCAGTGGCGTGGAATGTTATATTTGTTTATATTTGCTAATGTAGATTCAATTTAACGTGTTTTTCGTGTATTTAGTGTGTGTCCAAGACAATAAAAATCAAAGGTAATATTTTAATAATTTTTTGCGCAATGCATTGTAGATTTATTTGCTTTTCGACAAATTGGTAAATTTAAAAACTGATCACGAATCTAAAGTAAACTTTTTGATTACGATTCTTTTTCCGGATATTGATGATTTTGCTAGGATTAAAAGAGTCCAAAGTATTTTATGTAATTTTTTTTGTTTATATTTAACGATATATAGAGGGTGGTCCTACTGGCCCTATAGATTGACAAAGTAGTATGTAAGAAAAACTATACAAATACATCAAAATATATTGACTAAACCTTGAAAATTCAAGGATAATGTTTTGTCTCTGAAATCAATATTATCAATACTCTCTTCATACCGATGGAATAGCGCCCCTCTTTCAATCAACACCTGCAACCAAATAGTGCTGCATTGCAGTTCTATAAATATATTCCTTTAGAAGAATAAATTTATTTTCCTTTAATTTTATAAAGTGTAAATACAAAAGTTGTAAAGTAATATAAACGCCACATTAAAATATATATACAGGGTTTCTCAATTTTGTTATTTTAAACAGAAAGTAGACATTTAGCAGTCAAAAAATTTTCTAAAAAAACTTGTATTACTTTCAAAATAATCCTAACAAAAAATTATTTTGAATTCGTGATCGCTTGAGCATAATTAGTGGTGTGTCAAAAAGTAAATAAATACGTACCTATTCAAATAATTATAGATAATGTCTAGAAGATGTAAGTTTTATACTGATGAAGAACTACTAGCAATTATGATGAATAGCTATGATGAAATTTTCGACGAAAATGAAAATGACGTACCTACGAGTGATGAAGATGAAATATCTCCAACGGAGGCTGATTTAGACGTACCTGATATGGAGAATGATTCTGATTCTGAGGGTAAGAAATTAAACTGAAATATATGAGTAAAATAAAACAAATATGTTTTTAGAAGATGGGCCGCCAGATAAAATATCAAAACCTAATGAAGAAAAATTTCTTGGTGCAACCGAATATTTGAACCGCTAATTCCGAACTGAAAAACACTCTTGATCCGAATGCGACTCCAATGATGTGTTCCAAACAATTTTTTTCTGAAACTTTATTAGATCACATAGGAAACGAAACAAATCGTTAGGCTGATTTGACATTCCAAACGGCAGCAAGCACTTCTTGTCAAAGTGGAAGCCCACTAGTAGTGATGAACTTTACGTTTTTCTGGCTGTTACAATGTTGATGGCTCAGGTAAAGAAACGAAAATTAAATGACTAATCCCCTAATTGCTACACCAATATTTAGTCAAATTATATTTCGTGATAGATACATACTTCTTTTGCGAAATCTTCATTTTGCTGATAACAAAGAACAACATAATTCAAACGATCGTCTCTTTAAAATAAAAACAGTTGTTGATTATCTCAAAACTGCTTTTCGAAAAAGTCTGCATCCTGGCCAAAATCTTTGCATTGATGAAAGCTTGATGTTGTTCAAAGGACGAATCAGTTACAAGCAATATATTCCATCAAAGCGTCACCGATTTGGTATTAAGTTTTTCATTTTGAGTGATTGCAAAACTGGATATTCATTAGACTTCATCATCTATACTGGATCTACTACCAATATTGAGGAATTTGAGGGTAATCTTGGAATGGGAGCCAATATAGTTTTAACTCTTATAGAGCCATACATGTATAACAGACACAATATATTTCTTGACAATTGGTATTCAAGCCCAAAACTTTATTCAGTTCTTCATGAAAATGAAATAAATGCCTGTGGGACCGTTAGAGCAAATAGAGCTCACATGCCCCCACTGAAAAAAAATTAGAAATTGGTGAAGTGCAACATGCGTCGACGGCTAATATATTAGCATTAAAATGGAAGGATAAACGGGAAGTTACGATGCTGACGACATTCCATACCGCAGATGTTGTATCTTTTCCAAATAAACGGGGAATTGAAGTTACAAAACCCAAATGTATCCTAGAATACAACAAGAACATGGGTGCAGTCGATCAATGCGATATGCTTTACAGTTCAACAGAAACAGTTCGTAAATCCATTAAATGTTATAAAAAAATATTTTTTCATTTACTAGATATGTCAATGCTAAATGCACATGCTTTGTACCAAGTTACCCCTAATCGATTTCCAATTACAGTTGGTAAAGCAATTATTAGAAAATCATAGAAAGGTGAAGACAGGATTTGTAGGAGGCAGAAGAAATGAAGAATCTCCCCTAAGATTAATAGAAAGGCATTTTCTAGCTGTAACAGAGCAGAGGAATGAGCAGAATAAACTTGTGCCTAGATGCTGCGTAGTGTGCTCTAAAAACCGAAAGCACAAAGAAACAACTTTTAGATGTCCAGAATGTGACGTCGCACTTTGTGTGGCACCATGTTTTGAACAATACCACACTTTAAAAAACTTTTAGTATTAAGTAAATTGTGTTTGTTTTGTTTCTTACATTTATAGTACGTGTTTTCGTGGATTATATTTGGTTTTATATTTCTCTATAAATAAATAAGAGTCGAATTATACAGCAAGGTTATCTTCAATAATATAATAAATAGTTGATTTTTTAAGTTTCTCCATCACGTTTATGTTTTCTGTTAAGTTTATTTTGTTTATAATATAAATAAAAATATAATAAACAATATTAATATAAATAAATTTTGTATTGTATATTAATCAAAATTAATTTGAATGATATGCTACTGTCTATACTTACGCGATGTTCCCTAGCTCAATCTGTGGGAGACGTTTCTAGCCGCCGAGCACCTCTGCAGACGCACAGCGCAGTACATTGAAAATTAAGCTCGCCGCAGTGAAAGGGTTAATAAAAAATACGTTACTGTCAGTGTTTTCTGGACCTCCAAAGGGCGTTTGAAATGGTTGATAGGAATAGACTCATAAAGAAGTTAGAAAGCAGGGTTTAGTGGTACAGTATTGGAATGGATTTAAAACTATTTAAAACACAGAAGGCAAAAAGTCAAAATTAAAAACTTGGTATCTGAGGAGTTAGAAATAAAACGAGGTGTACCACAAGGAAGTGTTCTAGGCCCCTTGCTTTTTTATTTATATTAATGACATTTCAGACATTCAGAATAAATGTGAACAAAGTAAACACCCTATTTAAATTACCACCAGCCACCAATGCTTCGGACCTTAAGACGCATCCAAAAAATACGGTAATTTCATTAAGTAACTGTTAACATTTTATAAATTTCAATCTGATATACAATAAAAATAATAATAAGGATAAATGATAATGATAATCGACTGAACTTGAGTACGGAAATCATTTGTACACTCATTATTATAGTTTGTCAGGACTTTATTTATTAAATAACTAACTTTTGCTGGGTGGAAAAACGAAAATTAGGCCTGGAAAAACAAGAATAATGTGTGGACAAATATTGCAATAGTTAGTTTTAATAAATTGCTATTAGAAGAACTTACATTAATAATTGTTAGTAACTAATTTCTTTTGAGTAGATAAATGAAAATAAGGCCTGGACAAGTGAAAACAAGGCTTGGACCAATGACAGTAATGGGTGGACAAACTATTGTCTATTTAATTTGAATGAAATGTATTAAGGTTGTCCATAAGGACAACATTACTTTATTTTTTAAATATCTCGGACTTGTGGGATGGTCAAATAAAACTTTTGGTTAGACAAATGTGGACAAATCTTGCGACAATCGAATGCAACTTTGAAATCAATAACAAGTTTTTATGGTGGTGCTGATGCCAAATTTGGCTTAATTTAAAATTCATAATTCATAACTTTTTTTGAAACGAAAATTTTTGAAACAAGGACTAATCATGGACAAACGAATGTTTAATTTTATAAATATTCGTATTTGGTAGTGCTAACTTCAAGGACCAAAATGAGATTTGAAGAATTATTTTTTCATTTGCAACTCTGCCTTCCGAGCTAATATCGTTAAAACAGATATTAAAGATCATTACTTACTTCCAATTTCTTTTGTTATAAAAATTCCAAACTTTGTATTCCACAACTTATTTAAAACGAAAGGTACAGACACAGTGTAATCTTCCCCTTTGGGGGTAAAAACCCTGATAGTATGTGAATCTGTAATACAAACAGCTTCTACTGGATTGCCAGATGGTTCATCAGAATTAGCAAAATCTATTATAGTGTCATCAAAAACTGGGCACTCACAGTAAAATGTACACCATAAGGCTTGTTTTACTACAAAATCTGATGTATAGGAACAAATGATTTTCCTTCCATTATCTAGATCATCATGATTATTTACTAGACCTCTAGACCAAGTAACTGTATGGCCATTGACATATAATTCATCTTCCATATAAGTGGAATCCTTTTTTGTTTTAAAAACAGGTTCTTCATTACTTTTAGTTTTATTATATAGACATTTATTAGATTCATAACCACTTTTCTCACCTCTAAGTTCATTTTCAACTGATAACCTTTTATTAGAAAACTTTGAAGCATTAACATCAGATAATCTTTTACCAAACTTATTAAAGCTAGTGTCACTATGAGATTTTAAACTCAAAGAATCTTCAACATCACTGTATCTGCTTTTATAATTTCCAGGATTAATGTAACTTCTGATTTCAATTTTGTCTATTTCAGCTGTCTCTTTGTGGTAATGTTTCTGTTCTTGAACCTTCCTCAAAATCCACCATTCTGTGCGTTTTGTGTCTGCTAAAGACACTTTTTCGAATTTATTTAACAAAAGTTCGTCTAAATCCGATAGATTGCTATTTACAGTAGTTTCCACAGGACCTGGATGGCGTAATGCTTGCTGCCGGCCACTTGGAACATATTCCTAAAAAAAACTTGTTTTAAAGTTAATCTAATCTACATTCTGGTAATCTAACCTGTGGATCTGAGGCAGCAATCATTATTTCTTTTTTATCATCCAGATTTGTAGTAATTTTAAGTAAATTTTAAATAAATACACACGATCAATTAATCCGTTAATTTTTTTATATTTAAAATTAAATGTCAAAATTCCCAATCAAAACAATGAATAGTTCCTTGTTGACAAGTGACAGTGCTGACTACTGACATATTTGCTTTGACAGTTTTGACACCAGTGTTGCCAACAGTACGAGTAAGTCGTTCTTGAACTAAAATCGCAGTTCAGTTATGTCGCGTGAATTTAGAGATGGGTAGTAGCAAATCCCGTAAATGCAGTTACAGTTTTGCTAATATCCATCTCTAAATTCCAGTTTAACACTGGGGGTCAATTCTCGACTTGTAGGAACCTTTTCCTATTCGCGATTCAAATTAATTTTCGCGCGCCTGTCATTTGTCACGTATAAGTAGGATGTTTGTTTATTTACGTGTTGTGGGATTTTGTATTTGTGATTTTTTTAACTGTTTTTAGATAATATTCTTATTATAAGAGTGTTTTTGAGTTTCATTTAGTGTTAATTTAAGTTTAGTTTTCGTGCTTTCGTTATAAATGTAATTTTCCATGTGTAGTACGAACTAATTTGTTGGAAATATTGACCTTTTGGTTGCTACAAGAACATCTAGAAATATGTATATACTAAACCCAGGACATGTTTTATTATGTGGTTTAAAGGACATATCAGGTACCAAACGTTTATTATTGATGAACTTCTTTTAAAATCTTACTATCCTTATTCTTATATCATGAAGTGAATTGTGTAGTACTTTGTATACATGTAAATGGTAATAAAACCGTCACAACTCATATTGGAGTTTGATTCTAAACAACGTTTTGCAAAATTTCAATATTGTGAATTTGTAGATACCCATTTATCGTAAGAAACAGAATTTTATGACTTGCACTTGAAAAATAATGAATACTCCAGTTTTGATTTTGACAATAACACCATACAGATTGCAATTTGCTGGAGGCTTTTTTCGCAGATTTCATTTTTAATTTAAATACTATCACATACTATAATAAATAAACAAATTTAAAGCTAAAAAGTAACAAAAAACTCTAATTGTAATTGATACAAATTAAAATGTAAACAATGAACACGAACGCCAATGTTGCCAAATGATGAACTGATTTTGTCTCTGACTGATTTTAAAACTAAAATTAATAAATGAACTGATATTTAAAAAAAAATTAATATAATAAATCGATTTTATAAAAAAATCCTTAAATAAATAGTATGATTACATATTACTAGACACAAATTTTGATTCTTAAATAAAAGGTCTTATCCATTTCTTCAAGAACTAAAATCCGACGACGTAACGAAATTTTGCTGCTTCTGGCAACACTGAACGTCATCCTACTTATAGGGACCTTTTACTAATTTCCTCCAGAGGGCGTATCACTTAGCTTGAATCGCGAATAGGAATTTGTGACACTTTCCTACATGTAGGAAACTGTCATAAATTTTCGATGTATATAAAAATGTCAAAAATTCCTATAGGAAAATATTCCTACGAGTCGAGAATCGACCCCCTGGGGGTCAATTCTCGACTTTTATTCCCATGGGAAAATAAAATTTTCCCATTGGAATTCAGTTTTCGTATTCTCGACATAAGCGGTGGAATATTTTCCAATGAGAAGTATGGGAAAATATTCCCCTGCTTACGAGCATTGGAAATTGTGTTTTCCAATGGGAATTGTACTAGAGTTTGCGCATTAAAGTCGAAAATTTGACGAAAGACCACTTACTCTTAGAACGGTAACTCCCATGTTAAAAAAGGATGATAGAGTTTTTAGCGGCACCTGGTGGACGTGGTTGATTTTTTTTCAATTAAGTCCTTGTCTGGTAAGAGGCCATATGAAAGAAGAGAAAATAATAAAAAGAAGAAAAGCGCGGGGCTATTCAAATTTGACAGTAAAAATTATCCGCATTAAAAACTGTTAGCCAAATTAAGATTTGTTCACACAAATTGCATTTTTGCTTTATTATAGCGAATATCGCTATAATAAAGCAAAAATGCAGTTTGTGTGAACAAATCTTAATTTGGCTAACAGTTTTTAGATAAAAAAAACAAGAATATTCAAAAAATAAATTTATTAAAGAATATATATAATACAAATCCAATATTTAAAAAATGTAATGTATATGAAAATTGTATTATGTATGAAGTAGCTGGATGGCTGCTACATATTCCAGGATACAACACTGTCCATCATTTTGTGAAGAACTTTAGCTGTGAAAAAAGAAAGACAGTATAAGTACAATCTCATTAAAATAAATGTATTAATAAAAAATTATAAGTCCGAGGAATACTTTATTTTTTAATAAGTCCAACATCTACGATACAGCTTTGCAACCCCAAACGTCATGAAACACAAATTTCACAGTATATGCAGCGTTTAAGAATCCACATCGGATGCAACTGAGATGTAGTAAATCTTTGATCACGTGATTCAATTTACGTAAATGTAATGGGACAGATGTGTCCGATTTAAAATAAACTATTTGAGGCGCTGTTCTCCACATCTCGGCAAATGGACTAACATAATAATTTATAATACTCTTAATATTACCTTATTTTAATTATTGTGCCACTATACTGTATTTGCTCAACCAGAATGAGTTGCAATGATTGCAAAAGTTGCAGAATAGAGGCCTGAGGATAATACTGAGCTGTTCGAGATTGGAACCAATCAATTCCATGTTGAATGTGCTTCAGTAGTTGACTGTTAAAAAATATTTGCTATTCTATTCCCTGCTTTTTATATTTAAAATTAAATCAGGAATCTCCAGAGTATATTTACAAAATATTTTAAGTTATAATCAGGATGTTCATGAACCTAAACAGGTAACAAGAAAAATGTACACAAAATTCAGTGTTTTTTAAAGGTGTACAGGCTTTTAATAATTTGCCTGAGGATATTAAATGTTCTTCAAATGTGGCAATATTTAAAATAAAACTGCATGAATACCTGTTCACCTATTGACGTTTCTTTTTCTCTTTCTTGTTCTTTTATTGTTTTGTATAGTTGACATGTAAGTGTACTGTATCTTATGTATTTTTTATTGCATTTTAAATGTATGTTGATTCTATATTTATGTATTTTTTATATTTTAAACGTGAAGATGTATTGACATGTAAAAAATAGTTTTTTTGACTAAATAAACGTTTTATATATAGGTATGTGGATAAAAAAACGCTCGAGATGTAAAAAATGCATCTGATGTGGATTCTCAAACACAGCAATAAGTATAAAATAAATAAGTACTAACTTTCCTTCTCGAAAAGAAGTCCAACATATATTATTAGTCTGCTTCTTCTTCTACGATACAGCTTTGCAACCCCAAATGTCATAAAACAGAAAATACACAGTATAAGTATAAAATAAATGAGTAGATTACTAACTTTCCTTCTCGAAAAGAAGTCCAACATATATTATTAGTCTGCTTCTTCTTCTATGATACAGCTTTGCAACCCCAAATGTCATAAAACAGAAAATACACAGTATAAGTATAAAATAAATGAGTAGATTACTAACTTTCCTTCTCGAAAAGAAGTCCAACATATATTATTAGTCTGCTTCTTCTTCGAACCTTTACTTGAAGTAGAAGGTGTTTGATCAACATATTCAATTTCTACGTTATTTGAGGAAAGTCCATCCGCTACTCTTCCAGGAACTGCTGGTAGGAATAGCGTTGGAAATGCTTCAGGTGTTAGACCTCGACGAGAGCCAACTACTTTATACTTCTCTTCAAAATGTTTATGACATACTACAAAGGTGGAATAAATTTGTAGTCTTGTTTTATTATTAAATCTTGGACAACGAACAGCAAGTGCACAAATATTAAATAAATCGGGTGAATTCGTAGGGTGAGGCAGGCGATGCATCTTGTTGTCCACAACAAGGCAATTCGGTACACAGTTTCTATAATTACGCATCTTTATGAAAAACCACAAAATAACAGCGGAAAAAGCACAAATTTATAATGGAAAAACAAGCTTATTAACAGTGGTCAACTAAATCAATTAAGCAAATTGGAAATGAAAACAACTGAATACAACAGTCACCAATATAAATAAACAAAGTTTACGTTTGGTTTAAGCCAAGACGCCATGACACCCCCACAAAAATCAATATTCACCTTTTTAGTTTTTCTATGTACTCACCTACATTTTCCACGACTGTCATGTTTTAGTGTAACATAACCTAATTTATTAGCAAAGCCAGATTTACACCACCTCATAATATTCAAATGTAGCTTTAACTTTATAAATTTATAACAATTATCCCTGTATTTGATCATTATATTGTATTAAAGTGATATTTAAAAGATTGCATTAGTAAAATTATTGATTTCTTTAAAATTTATTCATTTTTTAATTATCATATGGGTGTAAAAACGGCTTTTATTTAGTGCTCGCAGCGCGTGAAGCGCGATATGATAAACTACAAACAAGGAAACAATTCCCGCCTATTATTCTAACCTTCTCTTTTTAGTTTTTCTATGATATTCACCTGTCATTTACACTCCCACCACCTACCCCACCACCCGACTGCAGCGCCACGCGGACGTGGTTGATTGATCCCAGGCCTGCGCATACCAGTTTCTCACCCCTGCGAAAGACCACGCGAAAGTCTAAGACATAACCAAAGATTATTGGATATCTTGGATTTTTAGTGAAATTGTAGTTAAAGGCTGTATGTCACGATACTAAATTAAGTACTAAATTTAGAACTAAATTAATGCATTTTTTAAGTACTAAAAAAATTCACGTTGCAAACAGCAAATTTAGTACTAAATTTAGTGCTAAAAAAAGTCATTAATTAAGTACTAAAAGTGCGCCGAAATGTTGCGCAGAAGTTTTTCATAGAAAAAGTTGACACGACGGTATTTTCTGTACCCTTTTATTTTTAATTAGAGACAATTTTACATTATCGCCTTGAATAAAGTTCGCTTGTTTGATTTTATAGGTTTTATTGTGTTTTTTTCGTGGTTTTTATGCTGTATTTGGTTGTTGTCAAGTCAACTAGTGTCAAATTGATAATAAAAACACCATTTACTTGTCTGTTTTACACATAATATTTCATTTCTCTGTTAATTTTACGTATTAATACGTCAATGCGCGTGC